ATGGGAAGGGACGGGACACGGGATCCGTCCTCATCAAGCCCTAAGCCCCACACGTCCACATTTGCCAAGGGACTGGCCTATTTTTATTTTATTCTTCTTCTTCTTATTATTATTATTGTTTTGAAAGAGAGAGAGATAGAAACATCCATGTGAGAGAGATACATTGATCAGCTGCCTCCTGCACACCCCCTACGGGGGATCGAGCCCAAAACCCGGGCAAGTGCCCTGACTGGGGATCAAACTGTGACCTCTGTCCATGGGATGACACTAAATCCACTGAGCCACACCAGCAGGGCAACTGGCCCATTTAATCCCATTAAAATAGGGAAACTGAGTCACTTTAGCAAAATCCTCAGGAATGGTTAAAATCATCCCAGAGAAGCTCCGGAAGAGGACTGGGCGGACAGACTTGGGGAAATGTCAAGGTCAAGGGACAGGAGAAGCAGCATCAGGGCTCTAGGCTTTGTGGGCAGCACGGGCTTGGGCAGCAGGGGGAGTGGGAGGGTGTGGCCCGAGGGGGCTCCTCTGAAAGCTCTATGCACATAGCGAGCACACTGCTTACACGAGATTGCATGCCATGTGGCCTACCGCTGTTACACGAGATTGCACGCCATGTAGCCTACCGCTGTTACATGAGATTGCACGCCATGTAGCCTACCGCTGTTACACGAGATTGCACGCCATGTAGCCTACCGCTGCTACACGAGATTGCATGCCATGTAGCCTACCGCTGTTACACGAGATTGCATGCCATGTAGCCTACCGCTGTTACACGAGATTGCATGCCATGTAGCCTACCGCTGTTACATGAGATTGCACGCCATGTAGCCTACCGCTGCTACACGAGATTGCACGTCATGTATGCCTACCGCTGTTACACGAGATTGCATGCCATGTAGCCTACCGCTGTTACACGAGATTGCATGCCATGTATGCCTACCGTGGTTACATGAGATTACATGCCATGTAGCCTACCGCTGTTACAAGAGATTGCATGTCATGTAGCCTACCGCTGTTACACGAGATTGCAAACCATCTATGTGAGCCACAGACTGCAGCAAGCAATGCAAAGATGTTTGGGAAGGTTCTTATTCATATAATAAATGTGAACTGCTTATGGATAAATGGACAGTCCATTATCTCCGTAGGGGCACTAAGGTGAACTGGCTCTGCAAACAAGGGAGAGTCAGCTGCAGAAGGAAGGAGAAAGGGGAGGAGAATCCCAAGAAAGATCCTGCAATCCAAAAGGTGAGAGTTTTTGGAAGGAGAAAATGCACAAGTCCAATGCTGAAGGATCAAAGACCGAATGAGGAGGAAGAGAAAACGGTGCCTGTGTGTATCGCTGCTAACCTCCCAGGAGCATGCATTAGGGTTGGGACAGGCTCCAGGCTGCAGGAGTTTTAGGAGCGGAGAGGCAGTGAGCTAAGTGGAAAGAGTGAGCTCGGCCAGCCCTTGCAAAAGGCTCAGGCAGTGTGAGCAGGGCTGGCCCCCTAGCTCCCCAGGACCTGAGCAGTCTGGTCATCCCATGCAGGTGTGTATGTCACGCAGATCCCACGTTTCACCTCCGCACAGCTGAGTGAGATGGGTGACAGCACGCTCATTGTGCTAATGAATAACAGGAGGCTCAGAGAAATGAAGGGACTTGCTAGTAAGCAAGATTTAGGACCTGGGTCTATTTTCAGAATTGTTCTTTCCATGACAGTCATGTTTGGTAAAGTTGAGGGAAGGTTGACTGGCTGTTATTTTAAGAAGCGGGGGTTGGTATAAGCATGTTCCTGGGGGGAAGGTATGAACTCCCCCTAACCCCAGTAGCAAGAGTCCACTCCCCACCACCTCTTATATTATCAGCCCACTGTCTTTTGTACCAGACCCCTGCCCAGGACATGGGGCTGAGAAGACAGAGGGATGAGAGTGGGGTGGGAGTGTGGGGAGGTGGGAATCAACATTTTCTCAGGCTTTTCTGTGGGGCAGGTCAAGGTCATTGTGAGCAATGTGCTTTGTTTATTGCAGTATCAGTAGGAAGGACCCCAGCTCCAGGCTGGGCACTCCTGCTCCAGCCATCTCCACGGTGCTGTTCCGATCCCCTCCCCCCCCAGTTCGGGTGGCCTCGACATCATGTGACTTCCGGGAAGCCCGAGGGGGCCCTACAGCACCCACGGACACCTGCTCTTCGCCAAAAAGAAACTTCTCAGCGAAAGAAGAACGATCTAGCCCATTCTTCTGCTGAAAAATGACATGTTCTGAGCATCACCACATTTTAATATTCTCCCGTCTTTTATTCTATTACCCCCTTCACCCCCACTACGCCCCAAGAGGTAGACTTGGCCAAGACAAGAATCCCATGTGCCAGCTGAGAAAGCAAAACGCAGGGCAGTTAGGAAGCATCCAGGAGCCCAGTATGAGTGACCCAACACTGCAGCGGGGTCTACTTTCCTTGGCCCCACCCAGGGCTACTTCCTTCAGCCTTTAAACCTGAATTCACGTAGACTCCCCCGGGGTTGTGGGGGCCTTGGCAGGCATGGAGGGAGGAGCCTCAGACTTGGTGCCAGGCTTTCTGTGAATCAGTTCACTAGGTCTCACATACCTACTCTGAATTAGGTGAAACCAACCACTTTAGGTAAAAAAAAAAATCACCATTTTGCAGAAAAGGAAAACCATACTTAGTAAAGTGAAGTAATTTATCTAAGATCAGAAATTAAGGTGCCAGTAGGGCGAGGCGGGCCTGAAATCCACGTTTCCTGCTCAGGGATGCTGGACCAGTTCCTGGGAATCAGACAGCCTAGGCTGGCCCCAACTCGGTGCATTCTGGGTAGTTGTGATCTGCCGAGTGTGTGTCCTACCTGCCCTCCCTGCCCCACACAAAGCAATGGCAGTTCCAATGACAGGATGGATTGGAAAGCCATTTTACTCGGGAAGTGCACCACACACCTGCTCCTTGTTGGGGGGGAGAGGGAGGAGGAGGGAGGAGGGAGAGAGAGAGAAAGAGAAAGGAGGCCATTCACCTCTTCAGTGATGCCATCACTTAATCACTTGATGTCCATCCCTGATCACTAACCCTGAGATCCATTCCCTTTGCTTCACCCAGCAAACTGGAGGACATACCATCAACTTCCTTTAAGGAAATCGGTTCATTCAAAGACTCTCGTTCAGCCGGTGTGGCTCAGTGGTTGAGTGTCGACCCATGCACCAAGAGGTCGCCTGTTCGATTCCCGGTCAGGACACATGCCCAGGTTGTGGGCCTGATCCCCAGTGCGGTGCATGGAGGAGGCAGCCAATCGATGTTCTCTCTCATTGATGTTTCTATCTCTCTCTCCCTCTGTCTCTAAAATAAATAAAGGGGGAAAAAAACAAAAACAAAAACAAAGACTCTTCACCACTGGATGAACTTGCAGGGAAATCAGTGAAGGAGACACAGAAACCTGCTCACGCCGTCACAAGGCCAGCCTGGACAGCATGTTTGGGAGGCAAGCTCTGGACTTGGGCCTGGCAGCTGTGTCTTGCTCTTCCCAGCTGTCTGGTCCCAGGCAAATGGCCCTCCGTTCCTCATCTCCCAAAGGAAGATCTTGGGGAAAATGCTCCCTTCCCTCCTTTATTGCAGAGAAGCTAAAATGACAACATACTGGAGTGTAGCACCATCTTGTACCAAATTTGTTTTAATCCCAATTGCCTCTTTCTAGCTGTGTGACCTTGGGCAAATTCCTTAATGCTTCTGTTCATAAGCTGCTCACTGGGAAGAATGGCAAGGACTGTGGCGAGAGTGCCTCAGCCTGTTCCAGCGACAGGCGGGTCCCCCGTGGCCTCCCTCCAAGGTGGCGCATCACTGAAGTTTAAAACTGTCCTTCGCGAAGGGCAGCCTCACTTCAGAACCTCAGCCCAGACCTAGGCTGTTTGATTTTATTATGAACCCGAATTTCTCCAGCAAAAATAATATCTTGGGCCCTGGCCGGTTTGGCTCAGCGGTTAGAGCGTCGGTCTGAGGTACAGAGAGACCCGGGTTCGGTACCTCGGTTGCAGTTTGTCCCCAGCCCTGGTTGGTCGTGTGGGTGGCAGCCACTCGATATGTCCCTTCACGTTGATGTTTCTCTCTCTCTCTCCCTTCCTCTTTCTCCCTCCCACTCTATCTGTACAAAAAATGGAAAAATAGCCTCGGGTGAGGATAAGAAAAAAAAAATATCTTGGACTCAGTGACCCCACTTCTAGGAATATACCCTAAGAAGCCTGAAACACCAATCAGAAAGAATATATGTACCCCTGTGTTCACAGCAGCACTATTTACAATAGCTAGGATCTGGAAACAGCCCAAGTGTCCATCAGTAGACGAATGGATGAAAAAGCTGTACACATACACAATGGAGTACTATGCAGCTGTAAGAAAGAAAGAAAGATCTCTTATCCTTTGAGGTGACATGAAGGGACCTGGAAAGTATTATCCTAAGCAAAACAAGCCAAGCAGAAAAAGACAAATACCACATGATCTCACTTATTTGCAGAATATAATGAACATAACAGTCTGAGGAATAGGGTAGACCCAGAGATGTGAAAGTGGGGTACAGACTGACAATCCCCAGAGGAGGGGGTGGGGGGGAGGGAAGAGATAAACCACAGAACTTATATGCATGTATGCATAACCAGTGGACATAGACAACAAAACCGGGGAGGGGATGGGGGGGGATGGGGAGGAGGGTTTCAATGGGGTAAAAAAGGAGAAACATCTGTAACAAAAATAATAAAAAACAAAAATAATATCTTGAACCGGTCATGAGCAAAGTGCCTTTTCTGACCAGTAAGCAGGTGGCTGTCCCATTTCCATCCTGAGAATTGACCTCCTCCTGCCCAGGGAGGGGAGGGGGGAGGGTTGGAGAGGCCTGATGTCACACAGCCCTACATAAGGGCCTCCTTTAGGCTCCTGCAGGAGGATTGGAAGCAGCTGGGGGAATGAGTTAGGTCCTGGCTGTGGGATTTTTTTTTAAAGTCAGACACAGACACAGCTGTGGAGCAAAATGCAAACTCCACAAAAAAGCCGAAGCCTCAAACCCTTCAAGCAGAGGAAGAGCTTAGGTAAGGTTCTCGGGGAGCGTCTGGGGTGCCAGCCAGGGGGGGAAGGCTTCCGCTGTTCGCTTACTCTTTCGTACTTGAAATGTCCACAGCAACCAGACAAGAGGAAGTTGCTGGAATCCGGGCAAAGTTCCCGAACAAGATCCCGGTAAGACTCCACTGTGTTTTTTGAAAAGGGGTGTACTACTCTGTTAGTGGAAAACAGGAGAAGAGCAGAAAGCCCACGACGTCTCCCTGCTCTGAGCTCAGACACTGAGCTGAGGCACGCTCTCAGGGCTGACCTCTTGACAGGTGGTAGTGGAGCGCTACTCCAAGGAGAAGTTCCTGCCGCTGCTGGACAAGACCAAGTTCCTGGTCCCTCAGGAGCTGACCATGACCCAGTTCCTCAGCATCATCCGGTAGGCGACACGCTGCACGGGAGGGGGGAGGGGAGGGGGGAGGGGGAGGGGGAGCAGGTCCCTGGGCGCTTTATTTTCTGTTGTGTTAGTCTGGTTGGTTTTGAGGACGGGCGCCTTCCAGGAGAAGAGGGAAAGGCTTTCTCAGTAAATCACCTTGTAAATTCTGCATGCCCAGGAAAGATGCTCTGAGGCCCTGTGTTTGAAACAGGTGGGAAAACTCCTCAGATAACAAATCGAAAGAGAGTAAGAGCTGCCAACATTTCTAAGAATTTTCTGAAACTGCCTTGGCTCTAGAACTAGTCCGGTGTATCTTTTCTTCCAAACAGCGTGGGAAACTCAGTCAGCCTTTTCCCAGTAGACACCGCACCTTTTCAGGGCACGCTCGCCTGGGGGTGGGGACCTCTTCAAAAGGTAAATGCTCCCTGCACTGCTCAGATAAGAGGGCCAGGATGGTGTCCCCCAAACACGCTCCTCCCTTGGGACAGGGCACAGTAAAGAAGACATAGCTACTTTCAAAGCTTAAGAGAACTAAGTGTGTCTCTGGCCCCGTGCATTCAATGCAAATGACAGTGAATATGACCCAGTGGGTCCTTCACAGGGTCAATGTCTACAGGGGCTCGCCCTTGGAAGTGGGTAGCTGTTGCAGCTTGGTTTTTCAAGAATTCATTATGAATAGACATTTGTTTCTGTTTTATCTGTTTTAATGAGTTATTTAAGAGCAGCCTGTTCCTCTCCTCAGAGAGGCATATGCCACTCCAGTGTGAATGGAGGTGACTGAGAATGAGTTAGGATTAGATCCCATCATGTTGATGTAACATTAGGTGACCCCCACCCCCCACCCCTGGCCAATAAACCAACCCTTTGAGATCTGAGAGCTGGTCTTTTCGCGTTGCGGTCAGGGACCCTCCTGTCTCCTCCACCACCCCTGACTCACCTCCTCATTCCCACACTGATGTCCACAATGTTTATTGAGCACCATGTTCTGAGTGTTCTCTGGGCTCTGAGTTTACACGGTGAACAGAACAGACAGACTCCGGCCCACAGCCTTCCCCCTCGGGGAGATGCCACAACCCTCATCGAAGGAGAGCGTGGCAAAGACAGGAGCAGACGGAGGTGCAGACGTGGGAACGGGGCTTCCTTCAGGGCCAGTGGCAGCCCAGCCACTCCGGGCTCCACCCCTTCCGCTAGCCGTTCTTTTCTACCTGAAGACAGCCATGCACTGTCAGAGCGAAAACCTTCGGGGTCATTGTGGGCGGGATTATCTGGCTGTAAAATTAATCAGGCTCCAGCCACCCCTGTCTCCCACTGACGCCTGGACCTAGCTCACCCGTGGGTATGTTCCCCAGCCCCCAAAGCTCTGAGGCTGGAGTGGGTGGGCTGTGGCCCCCTCGCCAAGGAGAGCCAGTGGACATGTGCTTCAGGTGAGACGGAGCCTTGCCTGTGCATCACACCATCACGCTGTCCTCTACTCCAGGATGAATCAGAGCGCAGGTGACCTTGACATGTGAGGTGTGTCCAGTTGAACTTTGCTGCTTCTCTATCTGCTTGCTGTGGAGGGAGAAAGGGCAGCAGATCCCTTCCAAAGGCCATTCAAGGCTATTAAACGAGGTGCTGGAAGAGACCGGGATCCCCTTCGTACCTCTTGGGAAATCCCTTTAATTTCAAAGCAAACAGGGGCTTATTAACATTTTTGTGTTGGCACATCTGCTAGTTAATGATGGGAAGGCGTCCCCCTTCCGGCCCAACTAGGAGGCGGGTGGTGTCTCAACGTCCAAGGAAGGAGGCGGGCACAATTCAGTCTTCCTGAGCGTCAGACTGGATTCCTGGCTGCTTCCCAGATCTAAACCAAATCTGTGCGGTGGGGCCCAGGAACCTGAACTTCACCAGCCTCTCCCGGGTGGTTCTCAAGTTGGGGGACAACAGCGGAGTGGGGAGCTGGGGGCACGGTGACAGGCTTGTCAACCCGGCCACAGGTTAACCTTCCCCTGCCGCCCTTCCCCTCCCCCCTCCCCCACCCTCCCCCCTCCCCCACCCCCGCGCCAGGAGCCGCATGGTCCTCGGGGCCACCGAAGCCTTCTACTTGCTGGTCAACAACAAGAGCGCCGTCAGCATGAGCGTGACCATGGCGGAGATCTACCGGGACTACAGGGACGAGGACGGCTTCCTGTACATGACCTACGCCTCCCAGGAGATGTTCGGCTGCGGCACCGGCGGCCGCGGGGATCGGGCAGCCTGGGGCGCGGACCCTGCCCCCGGGCTGCTCCTCTAACCGCGGGGCCCTGGCCGACAGGCCCACCAGCTTCCTTCCGATGGACAGACAGACAGACAGACAGACAGCAGGGCCTGCGCGTGGGAGCTGCGACCCCCTGGCCGGGAGGCCCGGCTGCCTGCTCCCCTAGTGCGCATGCGCCGGACCCCCTGGGAAACCGCGGAGGCTCCTGGGAGCTCTGTGCGTCCTCCGCCTTTTTGGGGTGAGCTTTGCTCACTCCTGCGGGGCTTTTGTGCGATGCTGTCTCTTCCGTGCGGAGGCCGCAGGCCCTGAGCTGGTGTCGCCCGTGTGTCCCGAGGCCCGTGTGCTCCGTCAAAGAGAACCTGGGCCTGGGAGGGGCTCCGCAACCGAGGAGCCAGCCAGGGGTGGGTGGGTGGGGGTCCTTAACTGGGTCATGACGGAGGTCGTGGGTTTATCCCCAGCCCCCACGCGGCCTGATTGTTTCCCTTATACTCTGTTGTCTGTCCGCATCACACAGATCTGTGCCCGAGTTGTAACTTTTCGGTATAAAGTGCTTGGACCCATTTGAGTGTTCTCTGTGTGCCTGGCATCGCGCTGCTCACTGCACGTGCACTAACGCCCATCACAGCTCCCTGCGTTAGTCAGCATCACCGTGCAGGTGAAACGGGCCCAGAATCGTCGAAAACGTGTGTCCAGTTCACCCCGCACGGCCCATTGGGACGGGAAGCCACACAGCTGGTCCTCAGCTAGGCTCCCCATGTTAGATGAGGTTACCCTACGGGCTGAGTACGGACCTAGTGAGCGACAGAGCCAGTTCCGGTAACGTGGCCCGGGGGAGACAGGTGGAAACCGGGGAGTGCAGCGGGGCTCGGGGCTCCGGGCTCCGGGGGCGAAGTCACGGTGGGCGTCTGGGTTGGCAGCAGCAGCACAATGAATGGGCATGCATCTGACCGCCTGCGCCCACTGCAGGTCCTCCTCGCGGTCGTCTCTGTTTCCTTGGTCTTTCTTGCACCCCAGGATCTAAGACTGTCATCACACTGCCAGTCTAGACGTCCTGCCCAGGGTTGTAGCTGGGTGAGCTGTTGTGTTTGGTGGCTAAAATCCTTCGTGAAGTAGCTTCCCTGCTATGTTGACCTTCGGCCGGAGACAATTGGCTCCAACAGCCTTGGTTGTGATGGGCATTGTTCACTTTTCCACTCTGTATGGCCAACCAGCCCCAACTCGGTGCCTAAATCCTCAGGACTGCATTATGCTCATAGATAGAGGCTGTGAGTAAGGATTTTAGTGTCCACATGCACACACGTACACATGCACACGCGCACACACACGCACAGGGTCTACTGCTTGTCTCTGCTCCACCTCGGGGGACTCAGCCTGGAAGAACTGAAAGGCTGGGGGTGGCTTGAACAGCTGGGAGCTGAAATCATCTGGAGGCTTCTTCGTTCTCCTGTCTGACTCCTCGGCTGGGATGACTCATGGCTGCCTCAGCTGAAACGGGACTGAAGTGGTTCCATGTGGCCTCTCTCAGCAGGGTTCCAGGAGGGAGCACCCTGGGAAGGAGCAGCTGGAGAGCATGTGCTCCAAGAAGCCAAGTGAAGCTGACCTGCATGACAGTGATGAATGTCAACTGATTTTGGTCTAGATTTTTTTCTTTATTTTCTTAGCCTCTACTCAGTTACTTAGCATTCACTGGCAATTTGTACTTCTGTAAATTAGGACCACTTTTAGGCTAGTCCTCATTTTCTATTAATTTTTACAAGTCCATACAGTTCAGTAATTAACTCTTTGTATGCTATGTGTATTAAAAATAATTACACAGTTCCTTTTGATCTTTATGGCAGATTTTCTTTCTCATGTAAATGCTTATTATTATTATTATTATTTTAATCCTCACCCTAGGATAGAGTGGGAGGAAGAGAGAGAGAGAGAAACATGGATGTGAGAGGGACACATCGACTGGTTGCCTCCCGCATGACCCCAATCAGGGCCAGGGATGAACCGCAACAGAGGTACATGACCTCGCCCAGAATCGAACCCATGATTCATTGGCCCATGGGCCAACACTCTAACCACTGAACCAAACTTGCCAGGGCAAATGCTTTTTATTCTTATGTAATCTTTTCCTTTGTGGCTTATGAGGGTCATGGTATCAATAGAAAGACTCTCCGAATTCCAAAATTATAAAAAACATAAAGGCTTCCTGTGTTTATTTCTAGCACTATGATTTCATTCTGTTTACACTTAAGTATTTGAACCAACTGGAATTTATTTTGAAGACAGAAGAAAAGTACCCAGGTTCCATTTTTTTTTTTTCAAAATGGCTAACCAGTTGTCACATGTGCCTTTAATTAATAAATAATCTGTCTATGGTCATTGAATGTGCTGTGATTGTCTGTGTCTTATCACCATAATACCCCAAACTCTTTAATAACATGGACTGTGACTTTTTTGGATTCCTCATGGCTTCCAGTAAAGCCAAGCATATCTTCGGTGGTTAATTAATGTTTGGTGATAAATTAGAAAGCCCTGGTGTCAACTTCAGAGGGAGACAATGATCGGACTGTACTCGGATTTCAGTGATTGGGTCAGATGGGAAAACATTTGTTTTCCTGTGCCTGTTGCAATGCATTAATCACCCTCTCCTCACGCCCATAAAGCCAGAGGCCTGATACAAAATGTGGCTATTTATGTCACAGCTGACACAGGATTTACAGCTGACCCCAGATTTACTCAAATGCCTAAACCAGAGGTCAGTTAACTACTGCCCTGAGCCATCCCACCTGGGGCCATTTTTGTAAGTAAAGTATTATTGAAATGCAGCCTCATCCATTGGTTACCATTACTGTCTCCAGCTGCTTTTGTGCTGCAATGGCCAAGTTGAGTAGTTGAGACAATAGGCTACAGTATAATCTACAAGACCTAATATATGGGAAGGAGTGGAGGGCAGGGGGAGGGAGCAAAAGTAGGTTAAATTACCAGCCATCATTACCTAAAAGATCAATGAGAAGTAAGGATACAAAATAATAAGAGGACAAATAATACAATAATAACACAAGAATAAACTCTGTTTCATGTACTCATAACTGTAAACCACCTTTGCCCACCCCTATATTTACTATTTGACCCTTTACAGAAGTTTGCAGATCCCTAACTCTAGGTTTATAGTTATAATTGTATCATCGCGATATCATGGTAGATACATCACAATAGAAAGAAGTATCTTTTGGCCCCGGCCGGTTTGGTTCAGTGGTTAAAGTGTCGGCCTGTGGACCAGAGAGTCCTGGGTTCGGTTCCCACTAGGGCACATACCAAAAAACTAAAGATTTTTTTTTTAGCCTTGGCCGGTTTGGCTCAGCGGTTAGAGCGTCAGCCTGCGGTCCAGAGAGACCCGGGTTCGGTTCCTGCTAAGGGCATGTACCGCAGTTGCAGTTTGTACCAGCCCAGGTTGGTAGGAGGCAGCCACTCGATGTGTCCCTTTCACGTCGATGTTTGTCCCCGGCCCCAGTTGGAGTTGTGTGGGTGGCAACCACTCAATGTCTCTCACTCTCTCTTCCCCCCTTTCTCCCTCCTGCTCTATCTGAAGATAAATGCAAAAAAAAAGTCCTCAGTTGAGGATAAAAAAAAAGAAAGAAAGAAGTGTCTTTTTGTTGTTGGTCCTACATGAGATAAGAAGAGTTGAGTTTCCAAGTCTACCGGACTCACCGATTTTGTGTCACCAAGTCCTTGACTGGAGGGGTTTAATACAGACACATATACAGAATTCTCTATGGTCACTAGGCATTCACAGGTCATGGCTCCATTGTCACAGAACTTCATGCACTGACAACCTGGAAGAACTCTACTTGAGACCCCAGCTGAGGTCTGGAAACCAGCATCAGCAGCCTCACCTGGAAGCTTGTTAAAAATGCAGAATATTGCCCGGCCGGTTTGGCTTGGTGGATTGAGTGTCATCCCGTGGACTGAGAGGGCCTGGTTCACTCCTGATCAAGGCACATGCCGGGGTTTCAGGCTTGACCCCAGTAGGGGGTGTGCAGGAGGCAGCCAATCGATGTTTCTCTCTCTCTCTTCTCTCTCTAAAAAAAATCAATAAAAACATATTTTTTAAATTGCAGAATATCACCCTGGCCAGTTCAGCTCAGCAGTTAGAGCATCGGGTGGCAGGTTTGATTCCGGTCAAGGGCATGGTGTACTTGGATTGCAGGTTAGATCCCTGGCCTTGGTAGGGGTTGTGCTGGAGGCAACGAATCGATGTGTATCTCACATCAATGCATCTGTATCTCCCTCCCTCTCTCTCCCTCCCTTCCACTCTATCTAAAAAAAAATTAATGGAGAAATATCCTCTGGTGAAATTAACAAAAAATTTTAAATGCAGAATATTGTCTGGCTGGTGTGGCTCAGTGGGTTGAGCATCGTCTCATGCACCCGGAGATCTCGGGTTCTATTTCCCGGTCAGAGCTTGAGTTGCAGGCTCAATCCCTAGTAGGGGGCCTGCAGGACACAGCAGATGGACATTTCTATCTCTCTCTCCCTCTCCCTTCCTCTCTATCTAGAAATCAATAAAAACATTTTTTTTTTTTAATGCAGAATCTCAGGCTCCTTCCAGAATTCCTAAATCCGAACCTGAAATTCATCGAGAACCCCAGCTGACTCACAAGCACGTTAGAGTTTGAGAAGCTCTGGTTTAGACCTTCCGGGTGGTGGCACCACGTTGCTTTCTCCTCGCTCCCTGGAAAGAGCAGTCACTGGGCTTCATCTGATCCATCCTGTTTCAACCTTTGGAGCACAGACCTGCCCCAGTACTGTGTTACGAGACAGTGTGGTATCCTAGGAAGAGCCCGGATTTGTCATCAGACAGACCCAGGTTCCAAAGTGGGGTCTTCCCTGCAGGCTGGGGATGATTTAATCCGGTCAGTGTCCTCTGAAAAATCGCTGGTTTGTCATTTCAGAACATGAAGACCTTCTGAGTAAGTTACTGTCGAAAGATCAGCATACTTCTTGTTTCATCGTTTTCAAATAATGTATTTTGTATAAGTTTCCAC